CGAAGGAAATCTAAGGAAAAACACTGCTTCTAACAAGATTCCACTTCAAGCAAGGCCTGACAGGCGACTGAAAAACACGACTTACTCTCGTTCTGAAGTGTGTTAATGGCATCATCCATAATGCAGTCTGGGGAAAATCCTGCAGTCTTCGATAACAAACCCAGCAAGGAAGCAATCTTCAGTCTTACAGAAGCATCATTCTCCTGGAAGGAAACAACAGATATTAGGAGGAAGTTTTTCCCACAGAGGGTGGTGGCGCACTGGAACAGGTTGCCCAAGGAGGTTGTGGATGCCCCATCTCTGGAGGCATTCAAGGCCAGGCTGGATGTGGCTCTGGTCTGGTGGTTGGCAACCCTGCACATAGCAGGGGGGTTGAAACTATAGGATCATTGTGATCCTTTTCAACCCAGGCCATTCTATGATTCTGTGATTCTCTCATTTTTCAGTTGGGAGAGCAAAATACTCAACAGGGAGGCAGGATACACTTAGATTTCAGCACAAGGGACCAAACTTGGCTATAAGGTTACTTCCTCCTCCATGCACACCTTGCAGTAAGTTAATCACACCAGAATGTTCCTCTTGCAACTTCCAGTACACTACAAATTAACTCTTTTACCCCTGATTTCTGAGTAATTACTCATTACTGTTTGAAAGCTAAAAGTTTAAAGAATCAGGGTTTCAGGATTCTGAAAAACTCACTATTAATGTTCATATCTTGTAAGTTTTAATGAACAAATGGAAGAATTTTAGAAGACGAAGTGACACTGATAGCCTTTGGATTTCAGCTAACTGTTGGGGTCCATAGCCTAAAGAAAAAGTTTCATTTCACAGCAAGGAGGAATCCTGCTAGGAAGATATAAAGCAAACAAACTCAAGGCAGCAAGGTTAAAAGAAAAATAAATAGGAGCACATGTTAGCTGGATACATCTCTAAATGCTGTCACAGGTGGTAATTACATAAACAAGCTTCACAAATTATCATTAATTTTAAATTCTTTAAGAACTCATGTATTTCAAAGGGCTGTTAATATGAGTATTTACAGACCTGTGCACACAGCACTTCTAGTCCTAATTGGGAGCTCTCTCCTATCTTCACATAGCCAAGGATATCCAACATAAGGCAGAAGGACACAAAGGAGTCTGGATTTTACACTCAGCTCTCTCCAAGCAACTATGCACCTCAGTATTCAGCACTGCAACTATGCACCTCTTTTATCACAGCAATGGCACCTTTCAACAGCGTTTAGGCAAGACTTCAGCATTAGGCTTCCAACAGCAACAACACTCCTGTAAGTAATCTCTTTCTAAACTGAGCCAAAAAGCATTTTCCCTTTCCAGAGCTATGCATGAACAGCAGTCACTCTCACTGGTCTACTTCCTTTAGTGTTAGAATGCACAGATTTCAGCAGTATAACACATTTGAAATTCATACACATTACTAATAATAGGATAACCCTCAACAGAAATACTAAACCCAACAATTTCAAGAAGAACTCTTGTAAAGGCACTTTTAAATAAATAAATCCTGTTTGAGTAACATTTGCATTTCTGAGCAGTGTCCCACCACAGCAAATGTTTTCTCTTTTGATGGTTTGTGAACAGGAAATTGGAGAAACTTTTCCTTTTGGTTTACAGTTCAGATTGTTGCCTCCAAGAGCAGCAGCAGGCCCCTCAGTCACTGCATCTCTAACCTGTCAACCCAACAACCCTCAACAGTTGGAAAGAGCCCTCTGGGATCTATTCAGGCACTGTCTGATGGCACAACATTTCTGCCAGCAACAACCACCTCATTCTGTGCCACCTGCCCAAAGACAATGATTCAACTGTCAGCAAAGTAAGTGAAAAGCATAGGGGAAAAGGAAGTGGCAGATTATTTTTCTGATGCATTTCAGAGGGCAGTTCCCAAACTGTCTTATTTGCCTATCATATTTCTAAAGGAATGAAGGAACAACAAAAGTTGGTCACACTCCAAAAACAAATACAGTACAGAGACTGATAAAATCCTTACAGCTTTAGCATCAATTCAAAGCCTTTTGGTACCTAAGGGGAGCCTACAAACAGGAGGGGAGTCAACTGTTTGAAATAGTAGATAATAGAAGGACAAGAAGAAATGGTTTGAAGTTGAAGGAAAGACGATTTAGGTTGGATGTCAGCGGGAAGTTCTTTACTATGAGAGTGGTGAGGTGCTGGAACAGCTGCCCAGAGAGGCTGTGGATGCCCCATCCTTGGAGGTGTTCAAGGCCAGATTGGATGGGGGCCCTGGGCAGCCTGGTCTAGTGTTAGATATGAAGGTTGGTAGCCCTACATGTTGCAAGGGGGTCAGAGCTTGATAATCCTCGAGGTTCCTTCCGACCCAAGCCATTCTATGATTCTATGAAAGTAGAGAAGATTCAGTTGAAAAGAAAAAGAATAGCAGGAAGATGTTTACAAGAAACAGCACCCATCTTTGCCAGCAACAATCAAATTTGAGTTACCAGGTGAAGGATCGATGTCTGGACAGCATAAAGCATCTATTCTTTTATTTATCTTGTTGTTCAGAATTTTTTGTTGGTTGAAGAAAATAAATCTACCATTTCTGTTTTTCAGCAATGTCATTTAGAAGTGGTCTGCATTGTAAGCTGTAGCTAAAAAATTTTTGCACTCTTAAAGGAAATTAAGCAGGATTTAGATAAAGTTGACCCAGCTTTGGACAACTGGGTTACTTGGAAAACTTCTTGTCATGCCATCTGCTCCTTGTTAAGCTGATGCAAACCATTCATGCAGATTGCCTGCAGGAATCATAGAATCATTAAGGTTGGAAAAGACCACTAAGATCACCAAGTCCAACCCCAACCCATCCCACCATGCCCACTGACTACGTCCTTCAGTGTCACATCTTCATGGTTCTTGAACACCTCCAGGAACAGTGATTCCACCACCTCTCTGGGAAGCCTGTGCCAATACATAAGCACACTTCCAGGGAATTTTCCTAATATCCAACCTGAACCTCCCCTGGTGCAACCTGAGGCCATTACCTCCTGGCTCATTTTCCTGTCACCGAGTCCTGAAACTGCTAAAACCATGTGACATGAGCTGTAACCACACAGGTGAAGGACTACAACCACTCACTGTCCTCATGCAGCACTGCTGGCAACTGAGACAGCAACACAGGAAACAGCAGCTTCCCATCCTACCTCCAGCCCCATCCCAAGACAACAAGGTCAGAATGGTGTTTCTGGCAGAGCTTTGGCTTCCAGCTTCATTACCTTATAATAATGCTCCAGCAGGATTCGGACAACCCCTTCCACGCTCTCCACTTCCACAGGCTTCCTGGCAAACTGCAGTAGGTACTGCAAGGCATCTGCAGGTGAGGTGGCTTTACACAGGTCGACATGGAGTGCTGCTGACTTGCTGGGCTTGGTCAGTCGCAGTTTCTTAGTAGACAGGTCCTCATGCTGCTGCTGTGGGCCAGAGACAGAGCAACACGATTCAGAAACACCATGCAAATCCTTCCCAGAGCAAACTGCTTCCCACAAAGGCAGCCTGAGGGAGTTCCTGCACCCCACCACAGACAGTGCCCTTTCCCTTGCCTGTCACAGAACGGTATCTATCCTGGAAGCACACTTCATAGAATTATTAAATGGCTTGGGTTGGAAGGGACCTCAAGGATCATCAAGCTCCAACCCCCTTGCAAGGCTGCCAACCTCCATATCTATACTACACCAGGCTGCCCAGGGCCCCATCCAACCTGGCCTTGAACACCTCCAGGGATGGACGCGACATCCACAACCTCTCTGGGCAGCCTGTTCCAGCATCTAACCACTCTCTCTGTAAAGAATTTCCCCCCAACATCCAACCTCAATCTCCCCTCCCTCAAATTCAAACCATTTCCCATTGTCCTGCTGTTATCCACCCTTTCAAAGAGTTGACTCTCCTCCTGTCTGTAGGCTCTCTTTAGGTACTGAAAGGCTGCAATTCAGTCGCCCCACAGCTTTCTTTTCTCCAGGCTGAACAAGCTCAGCTCCCTCAGCCTGTCATCTGTCTTTGTAGGGGAGCTGCTCCAACCTTCTGATCATCTTTGTGGTTCTCCTCTGGACCCTCTCCAACAGCTCCCTGTCTTCTTTGTACTGGGGGCCCCAGACCTGGACACAGTACTCCAGATGGGGCTTCACAAGGGCAGAGTAGTGAGGGACAATCACCTCCCTGTCCCTCCTGGCCACCCCATTTCTGATGGAGCACAGGATACCATCTGCTTTCCGAGCTGCAAGGGCTCACTGCTGGCTCACATTCCGTTTTTCATCCATCAGGACCCCCAGGTCCTTCTCTGCAAGGCTAAATTTCCCAGCCCACTGGGGCAGCTCCCACCTCAGGTGAGCACTACATCTCCTCAAGCTGCTCCGCCCCTTTCAACCCCTTCTCCTACACCTCCCAGCCCTAAAAGAATCGCTGTTCTCTCCCTCCCCGAGCTGAGGC